TTTTTTAACACAACCAAAATGTTTTTAAACTCGTAGGAAATATATTATTGGCTCTTATTATACCCAACGAATCTTTCAAATCTCTTTTAACCGTTACTTTATATTGAACAAATTTAAGCCTTTAAGATATTACGACGTCTAACACGAATTGTGAATACCCTAAATATTCATTAAATTAGACATCAAAATTTGTAATTTCAGTGTTCGAATTATATCAGAAACAATCGCACCCGATATAGAAAACTTTAATAGTCCTGGCTAGTTACGTTGTGAAATAATCAGATAGCATAAAGACACTAAATATTTTTAAATTATGTTCACTAAAATTTTGTTAACCTTAATGTAAAGTTTTTGCAAAGTGTTTATCGAAATTTAAACATTTCTAATATAAGATATTAGCTAACTAACCATAAAGGTAAATGTTAATACAACTGTTTTACACATAATCCCAAATTTATGATATAAAATCCCCTCTACAAAAAACTTAAATTGCGTAACACCGCTTCGAATTTTTACAATTCAGCAATTGTCAAAAATGTGCCTTTTTATCAAAAAGTGGTTTACCAGGGTGTCTTTGAACTAATGATTGGTACTGAATTAAAAAAAGCACACACATAAAAGATTGCAGCCTTTTCAATACTCATTCACTGTTAAACCTTTTTTTGATTTGGCATTGGTTTTTTCAATCTTGCTATGAATATGTTTATGCGTGAATTCATAAATGCTTTCAGTGAATGGAAAATTTATAAATTACAAACCTCAAGGAATAAGTAATGAAAACTGAATAGAAAAAAATTGTTGATTTAAAATTGAAAATGATTTCACACTTACACAGCTCTGATATTTACACCGTTCGCCCGATTTTCAAATATAAGGTGTCAAACGAAGAAGATTGGCCAACAGATGGGAAAGTAGAGTTTATTTTTATAAGCTTTTATTTAACTTGGTCATCCCACGCAAATCGCGGAAATTTCCAATCGATTTTAAACTGACTTCCCGACAAGTTAGAGACTTGAAATTTTCAGCATAGTTCCAATCACGATGACAATGCAATTTAAAATGTAAATGAATTCTCCATATGGTCCAGGGGTCTTGATTCAAAGGCGGTCAAAAAATAGTAAGATTTATGGCTAACAGAGCGTAATTTTCCAAAGAACGTAAAACCACTATAAAATGGTTAAAGCTGCGCGCCGCGGCGGTAGAGTAGCAAAGCTATTCCTAGTCTAGATATGAACCTCGTTGAAGGCATCATATCAAGGAGATACAATTAAAAGACTCCAGATGTCGCCCCGCCAGAAGTTGTTAAATATTGCGCCTAAATATATGCCATGCTACAGCGGAAATGGACGACACGCCATTTCTTTAAATAAAATTAACTGCTGTTATATGCACATATGTATATTTATGCAAAACGTAAGCAAACAACATTTTGCTTGCCAAGTCTTCGGTTCTCTTTCATTGCAAGTTGAATTATTTTAATATCTATTGCAAAATGTTATACATTAAGTGAAATAACACTTTTTATATACAACGCTTTTATAAATGGACTAAAAATTATAAAATAAAATAATGTAAAAAAAATATTTTTTAAAAACAAGCTTTTATTTAACCTGTACAATCAAAGGAATAAAATGAAGTAGTGTAACAAAAGATTTTTTATCAAGAAAATTTAGTCAAAACTGCACTAAAATGAATAAAATAAAATAAGTTAAGGTCTCGTTAAAGTTACTAAAAGCCATTTAGTGAAAGGAGTTATTCAAACTCTAATGAAAATTACTAACAATTTGTACTAATTTACTTCGTTTTTAAAAAACTTGTCGGCGAATTCAGCGTACATGCATAATTGGTTAGGTATGTATGTATATCTATGTATGCAGATATTTAAATGCCGGTTTGCTTTTGACATACTTTGTCAAAAGCTTTACTGAAATTGGTGTATATTACGTCGGTGTGACCGGAATAACTTGTATATTATAATAAAATATTTTCACTTAAATTCCTTATTCAAATTTTATAATGTATTTTTAAAGATTTTTAATAAAAAACTTAAGAAAAAACCTATGAATAGCTTGTTATTAGCTAAGTTTTTCATATAAAAATAATGGGAACATGGGTACCCCGGCTATTTGTTTAAGTAGGTGTCGACTTTACAAGCTTATAGGTGCGGTACCACAGGACCAAATTTCATAGGTGACCACTCAAACGGCGCAATAACACCTAAGTTTCCTAGATTCTTAGTTTTAATGCCCTACAAGAAGTGCTTCTTTAGTTACAGCAGTTCAAAATTGCTAGTGGACTCAGGGGTACCTGGTTATGCGTTCTAGGATTAAAGATGGACATAAGTAAAGTAGCTGTTAGACGTGGCAAGTGGAAGTCATTTTCAAAAGTCTGCCAAACTCAAGAATTTCCTAAAGAGATTGCCGGAGCAGTTACACCTTGCATCTAAAGTGGCTTTCGAAAGCAGGTTTTATTTCTGAAAATCAAACTTTCTGATACTAAATACTTTTCGTCTGTTAATGCGTTGAATGTAGACAAGTCTACTTTCCGCTATTTTTGTGCTTACAACAAAATTAATGGCCTGCAAAATTTACTAAACCTGCTAAAATGTGCACAAAGCAGTCTAATCATATATATTATTTCTCTAAGGTGTTTTTTTGTTAGTCTCCCTTTTTCTATTTTCTTATGTAAGCAGTTCCACTAATGAGGTGTCATTTGAAAAGTCAGATCTTAATGATCATAACACCTCAGAAGTAAAGAAATTTTTAAGTTTATTTTTGTTTTTAATTTACCACTGTTAAGCCACACTAAAGGTATTTTGTACTGAAGCACTATTGTGACTGCAGCATCGCATAGTATACGGCAGTGGTGGGCGCACACATAACTCAATAATTAAAGGTTCGATAAACTGACAGTTGTCTCTCTCACACCGCTCCCTTAGCTTTGGCACCGTGTTGCTTCTTTGCAAATTAAAAAAAAAATATTAGCTTATGTACGTGTGAAATAGAAGTATACGTTTTTTGTGCAATATGTTTATTTTTATATTCAAACTAGCTGAACCGGCAAACTTCGTTCTGCCCAAAATAGATTTTTTTATTAATTTCATTTCAAAAATTGTTATTACACCGGTGTTATTTTTAATAGAAAATTAACGATTTTTCACTACTTCATTGTGCATACAACTTCAAAAATATATAATTTTAGTATTCAGTTTAAGGCTGCACGATACACAACATTTTTAATTTTCTGTCCCGGAGCGTAAACAAATAGCGAGGACGGTTTTCCAACACGGGAACACGCCACATAGAGCTGACCATGTGAAAAGCATGGCATTTCTAGGTTTATGCCGCATACTTCCAACGACTGCCCTTGTGACTTGTTAATTGTCATCGCAAATGCAAGTTTCACTGGGAACTGCATACGTTTGAATTGCAAGGGCAAATCTGTTGAAGTTAAGGGAATCCGGGGAAGTAAGCATTCCTCTCCCTTGAACGGGCCTTTCAAAAAGCTTGCCACTATTAAATTGTCCATTAGCTTCGTAACAATCAGTCGTGTACCATTGCACAGTTTGGGAGAATGAAGATTGCGTAGCACAATAACAACAGACCCAACTTTGAGACGCAAATGATGAGGAGGCATTCCAGGCAAATCCAGAGAGTTTAAGAACTCCACTGGGTAATTTACTACTTCGTCCTCATTTTCAACGCGATCAATAGAACGCAGATCTCCCGGAATTTGATTTTGAATCGTCCAATTCAAGTCGTTGACATCAATATTTTTTGCTGCTAAAATTGCGCGTGCGGCTAACCATTCGTAGTTACCATAATTTTGAGCGATATTTGGATATACACTGCTAATTAGTTCATCCTTACTTGAAGCGAATTGGCAAATCGCAGTTGGAATCGATATTAATCCACTGCACGGATCTATCGGAACTTGTCCATTGCCGATTCGCAGCAGCTCTTTTGAAAAAACCTCTGCAGTTCTATCGTGTTTCAGCAAAACTCGCATATTGATCGTCAATGAAATGGTTTTAACAAACCTCCACA